AGATCCGAGCAGCTCTTTGCTAACCGACACCACCGTGTTTTGCTACCGCTGTTTACGGCATCTATGTATATATCTATATACATATACATATATATATATATATATATGTGTGTGTGTAGCACGTCGTCGTAGAATGTCCCGGATTTGCGGATGGCATTCCGTGAATTCCGGAAACTGTACCGACCGAGATTTAACGCGGCGCGCTTTAATCCAAAGCAAATGTAACTGTATATTTAAACGGACGTCGTCATAGTATTAGATAGTCGCCGTAATCTCGAATAATCTGTTGACGAGAGCACTATTAACTATCCACATACCACGCGCCGCTGTATACGCTTCGATATATCCGTCATATTCCCGGAGCTTTCAGTTAACGTTGCGAATTTCCCTCAGGGGGGAATACCTGATAGCAAAAGTTTGGTCCAATTTTTCAAGCTGAAAATTGGTAATGAAATTTTTGCGTTAACTTCATATGGAAAACTTTCACGGAAACTTAATGGAGAATTAACTTCCGAGATAGTTAACTTTGAAAATTGCCTCGAGCTACGACGAGCTTTTTTTTTTTCTCTCTTTCTCTCTCTCTTCTCGCAAGATATGCGTGTCAATAAATGCAGGATATTGACAGTTACTTATAGGATGGATCAGTCTTTCGCGACTTAGACAGGATATCGCGATATTTCGTCCGAAGGAGAGCGTGAAAGAGACATTTCCGTTTCGTATTTTGGCAGCGCTTTATATGAATGTCGGGTATATTACGAGAATCAGTTGTTCCATTTACATTTCTGCGGCCCTTCCGCAGGAAGGAAAGCGTGCCCGTGTTTACGCGAATTTAGTGTCGGGACGTACCGAAATGGAGCGTTGAATAAGTGTTGAATCTAAGTTCTCGGCTCCACTGAACTCGAAGCACGTGCCACGATTCTCCTTCTCCCGATCGTTGTATGCAAAACTATTCGGAATCGCATTCGAAATAATCAAAGATCCGAGAACAAAGACTAAATGGAGAAACAAGGCTCCCCCGCGAGATATTTGATAGCAATGCCACTTATACAATGCATATTTATTCAGTCGTTATGCAATAATATAATATAATATATATATTATAAAAGATTTAACGATATATAATGTAAAATTTTTAATATTTTAAGCTATGTTGCTTTTGCTAATTTTGTTCAAAATAAGGAGTACTAAAATTATACTGAATAGAGAACACATGACTCCTGATGATACATAAGTATTTGATAGAAATCTATTTATATATACAATTATTAATTTTGTTTAAAATAGGGAGTAATAAAATTATACTGAATAGAGAACACATGACTCCTAATTATACGAGCTATTTATATATACAATTATTAATTTTGTTGAAAATAGGGAGTAATAAAATTATACTGAATAGAGAACACATGATTCCTAATGATACATATTTGATAGAAATCTATTTATATATACAATTATTAATGTTGTTCAAAATAGGGAGTAATAAAATTATACTGAATAGAGAACACATGACTCCTAATGATACACATTTGATAGAAATCTATTTATATATACAATTTATAACAACTATAATGTAAAACAAGATATCAAATATAATACGAAATAATGTATAATGAAATATATTTTAAATTATCTTTAGTAATTTTGTTTAAAAGAGGAAGTTATAAAATTATATATTCAATTTCTTTATTATTATATTTTAGTCTCATCTATTTCTCTATTATAATTGAAATGAGGATTAATATACATATAATACGTTAGGATGATGATTATATGTTTGAAAGCTTTTTTTGTTCCGAGAAAGGTATTAATTATTATAGAATTAGTACTTTGAAATATTCTCATGTGCAATTGTGCAGCGCTTTTCAGGTTAGTCATATAGAAATTTCATTGTCCAGCTCTCTCAGACGTTGGAGATTGATCAATGTGGAAACGCTATAGTTGAAATGAAATATACCTAACGTTTATACACAGTCGGCACACATTTAGCCAAGTTTCGACCTTTTGTTTAATGAGTTAAATAATTCGAAGTGGTTTGTTATTACCCAGTTTTCAAATAGAGAGAATATCTTTCATCCAACAGAGATTATCGATTTTTCATCAAAAAACGCAAGTGATAATAATTTACTAATAAAATCACAACCGAGTTTTTTTTCACTGCTTTTCTTTTTTACCCCCGATATAAAGAGATAGGGTCTAGTGGCCAGGGAAATCTGGAAAACCGGGCATTATCAGGGAATTTTATAAATCTGGGATTGTCAGAGAAAATCTAGATTTTTTCACATTATTCCACATTTGTCTCAATAATTTGAAATTTTTTATTACATAAATATAAATATTTTTCTTGACTCCCAGCACGCTAATTTTCTGTGTTAAGAATCAATTCATCTACAGCGTGTTCATTAATTTATTATTTTCATCATCGTATTATTTTATTTCAATGTATTTAACAGAGATAAAACTAAAAAAATTTGATAGAATATAAATAAAAAAGGTGATTATTTAAATAATTTATAGTGACATGTTTGTCTCGATTATCGTGCACATAATGCAGATTGCAAAATTGATTTAAATTTTTCTTTTAACTTCCGAACCTTTTCATCGTTGACAAAAATATCTCAAGGATTTCACGATTTAACATTTAATTAGTTTATCACATAGCTACACGCAAATTACATATTTTGAAAAAAATAATACTAAAAAGTCAGGAAATTTTATTATTTATCTGGATTTTTTCACATTATTTACATATTTATCTCAATAATTTGAAATTTTTTATTACATAAATATAAATATTTTTCTTGACTCCCAGCACGCTAATTTTCTGTGTTAAGAATCAATTCATCTACAGCGTGTTCATTAATTTATTATTTTCATCGTCGTGTTATTTTATTTCAATGTATTTAACAGAGATAAAACTAAAAAAATTCGATAGAATATAAATAAAAAAAAGTGATTATTTAAATAATTTATAGTGACATGTTTGTCTCGATTATCGTGCATATAATGCAGATTGTATAATTAATTTAAATTTTTCTTTAACTTCCGAACCTTTTCATCGTTGACAAAAATATCTCAAGGATTTCATAATTTAACACTTAATTGGTTTATCACATAGCTACACGCAAATTACATATTTTGAAAAAAATAATACTAAAAAGTCAGGAAATTTTATTATTTATCTGGATTTTTTCACATTATTCTACATATTTATCTCAATAATTTGAAATTTTTATCACATAAATATAAATATTTTTCTTGACTCCCAGCACGCTAATTTTCTATGTTAAGAATCAATTCATCTACAGTGGGTTCATTAATTTATTATTTTCATCGTCGTGTTATTTTATTTCAATGTATTTAACAGAGATAAAACTAAAAAAATTTGATAGAATATAAATAAAAAAAGTGATTATTTAAATAATTTATAGTGACATGTTTATCTCGATTATCGTGCATATAATGCAGATTGTATAATTAATTTAAATTTTTCTTTAACTTCCGAACCTTTTCATCGTTGACAAAAATATCTCAAGGATTTCATAATTTAACATTTAATTAGTTTATCACATAGCTACACGCAAATTACATATTTTGGAAAAAAATAATACTAAAAAGTCAGGAAATTTTATTATTTATCTGGATTTTTTCACATTATTCTACATATTTATCTCAATAATTTGAAATTTTTTATCACATAAATATAAATATTTTTCTTGACTCCCAGCACGCTAATTTTCTGTGTTAAGAATCAATTCATCTACAGCGTGTTCATTAATTTATTATTTTCATCGTCGTGTTATTTTATTTCAATATATTTAACAGAGATAAAACTAAAAAAATTCGATAGAATATAAATAAAAAAAAGTGATTATTTAAATAATTTATAGTGACATGTTTGTCTCGATTATCGTGCATATAATGCAGATTGTATAATTAATTTAAATTTTTCTTTAACTTCCGAACCTTTTCATCGTTGACAAAAATATCTCAAGGATTTCATAATTTAACACTTAATTGGTTTATCACATAGCTACACGCAAATTACATATTTTGGAAAAAATAATACTAAAAAGTCAGGAAATTTTATTATTTATCTGGATTTTGTCACATTATTCTACATATTTATCTCAATAATTTGAAATTTTTTATCACATAAATATAAATATTTTTCTTGACTCCCAGCACGCTAATTTTCTGTGTTAAGAATCAATTCATCTACAGCGTGTTCATCAATTTATTATTTTCATCGTCGTGTTATTTTATTTCAATATATTTAACAGAGATAAAACTAAAAAAATTCGATAGAATATAAATAAAAAAGGTGATTATTTAAATAATTTATAGTGACATGTTTGTTTCGATTATCGTGCATATAATGCAGATTGTATAATTAATTTAATTTTTTCTTTAACTTCCGAACCTTTTCATCGTTGACAAAAATATCTCAAGGATTTCATAATTTAACATTTAATTAGTTTATCACATAGCTACACGCAAATTACATATTTTGGAAAAAATAATACTAAAAAATTCAGGGAATTTTTTCATCGAGTCTGCTGGACCCCCTGCTTTCTCACCTCCCGGTATAAAGAGACATACACACGAGGAGGATCTTTACTCTCGTAACATAAACCGCCGTTTAGTTTACCCTAAGCCCTTCGAGTTACCCGCGATCGTCGCGACACGTGCTTGGATGACAGAAAGGGATGATGGTGTCGGCTGTCAGTTGTTACGCGACTCTCTCTCTCTCTCTCTCTCTCTCCGAGTTCGCCCCATAGGGCCAGGTGTGTATCTCGTAAACTATATACGGAATATACCGCATTCCGAGGCGATTCCGCGTTCAGTGTAACACGGTGACACAGTATATTGACTGAGGGTGGATCGCGCGCCTTCTCGTCCCCCGCCGACTGATTTGGCGCGGCTGCGCAAATCTGGGGGCCCCACGTCGGCCACCACATCGGCCTCCTCTCTCTCCATATACCTTACCCATTGCTTTCCCTGCGTACGTATCGCACGTATATAGCCCTGTGTGTGCTCCTCTGCCCCATCGTATAATATAGGACTCCTCTCTCCTGACCACTCTTCCTCCCTCCTATCAACCCTCTCTGTCATTCGTTACCCTCTCTCTCTCTTTCTCCAGTTTCTTTCGCGATTCTTCGTATGCATCCCTTTTGCCGCGCACACGTGCACGTCGTACGGGATATCCGCGGATGAAGGCATGTCGATGACGGGACTCGTTGCGATACGTCGGTACCGGCCCGCGCGGAGATAACGCGTCGCCGGAAGTGTAGTGCGCGGAATCGACGCGGCCGCGCGCGGCGGGAATTCGCCAGAAGCGAACGGAAGCGGCTGACGCGAGGAAGTATCCGCGCCGAAAGGAAGTAGAGAGATCCGTCTCGTTACGTGGGAACGTATAGTGGCGAAGGTGGTTTGACAGTGTATCGTCCCCGTATTTGTTTTTTTTGTGCGTGCATGTGTGCGAGAGTGCGAGAGTGCGTATGCGCTCCGAAAAGTGCTCGGAAGCGTGAATAATCGGGAGTGATCTTTGTTGGTGGGTGAGAGTTCCCTGGGAGTTCTTGTGGGTCCGTCGTCGGTTTCATCGGACCGGCTCGTTTATGTGATGTGAACGTGGTTTAATGGTTGATCCGCTAAAACTCTTCTGGGTTATTACCAACAGCACCTACCTAGGTACGTTTCTCTTTGTGAATGAAGGACCTCGGGGGAAAATGGGAACACAATTACACGGCTGTTTGTTTATGTGTTTCAATGCACAGGTGAAGAGAGTAATTTCACAAGTGGTTCAATGTAATGTGGCAAAATTCGCACTCTCCGCTGAATTGTATATAATATATGTTATACACGAAATGTTAAAAATTCTCGTAATTATCACGATTGTATCCCATTTTCTCTGCTGCATCTCTAAATGTGTATCCGCCATTGAAATTAATGTTTAATCACCTGGTGAAAGGGATAATATTTTAATCTCGCTAGAAGAGAGCAGAAATATTTTTCCTTGCTGTCGAAAATTTCATTACAATCATCGATATAAATTTGAATTACACTCGCGCCGATTATATAAACATCTGTCAAATCGAAGCTTTTTCGTATCCGAGATGCGCTTATTATGCAGTTATATAAAAAAAAATGTGTAGGTAATTATGTGTGTTCCGAATGATAAAGATGTGGAAGTGAAAAGAAGGATCTTTTAACGAGAGATCACAATCACCAGCAACGGTGCAAAATATCCGTGCATGTGCATACATCGAGACTGTTTGAAGCTTGGTTACACGCTCGATACCCTCCAATCCATCCCTGTCGTTACACAAGAGTCGTGTTCTCGTAACGTGATCGCGGTGAGAAGTGCACACCCGGGGTTGAGGGAAGGGGATGTTTTTTGCAACGCGCGAATCGACAAAAACAAGCTCGTTGGCATCTCGCGGAATGCTGTTGCCGAGTGGTAATCGACGTAAAACTGACGGCAGGCGGCGTCGAAGCCACTTCGCTTTGTGAAATTTGCAACTACCGTATTTCGCGTCAAAGAGTCTTTCTCCCTCCCACCCTCGTTTTTTCGCCCGTCTCGACAAAGAGAAAACTATATATACCGACATTCCAAGCATTTCGTGGAGAATGCGCTCTCGAGAAAACCGCATCGTCTTTTCCCCCAAAGGAGTTTGTCGAAACCCCTTTCTTTCGGAAGAAACTTTGTAGACAGTCGTCGAAACAATGCCGCGTTCATCCCCCATGATAGTCGCGTCGCCCTGGATGATGCACTTTGCATGTGCATCACGCGCACACCTTCGCAAATTGCTTGCGCGCGATCTGACGAATTAAACGCGCGCCCGCGGGCGCGAAACAAGAGCGCGTTTGATTCAGCGGGAAATCAAGTCAAAGCCTTTCCTCCTCTCTCTCGCATCTCCCCATTTCTCTGTGTTTTCCTCAGCGAAATCGCCGCCTCTGCAATCGAAGCCGCGCAATCGCGCCTCTCTATATTCAGCCGCCGTGCTCGCGGTTATTAAGAGTTATATTCTGGATATATCCAGAAGCGACCGCGAGAGAGAATGGGATATATATATATATATATATACTCTGCGCATAGTCCATTTCCTCCAATTTCGTCAGCTATACAATATTTCCAACTGCGACGGGAGTTAACATAATCCGCGAATCTGGTTCCCTCGCGTGCCTAATAAATAATGTGAAAATTTTGAACATTTTTTAAAGAAATGTACATATATGCGGAATTAGAATTGGAATATTTGGAGAAAATATTTAGAACGATAGATACTATTAATTGGAAGGGTGAATTAATAAGTTTAGTCTTGAACGCAATGTTAGGAAATATAAATTGAGATGAATGAATTATAATTGAAATAAAAAGTGGAAAACCAATTAGAATTAAATGTCGAAATCAAAATTCTGCATTATTTTATAGGAAAAGATTTTATATTAAATATATGTACATATATTTTATATTAAAAGAAAATCAGGGATAATAAATAATGTGACATTTTTTAAAGAAATGTACATATATGCGGAATTAGAATTGGAATATTTGGAGAAAATATTTAGAACGATAGATACTATTAATTGGAAGTGTGAATGAATTATAATTGAAATAAAAGTGGAAAACCAATTAGAATTAAATGTCGAAATCAAAATTCTGCATTATTTTATAGGAAAAGATTTTATATTAAATATATGCATATATATTTTATATTAAAAGAAGATCAGGGAGGGTGTTTTTGCAATATTAAGTATGAGCGCAATAAAATTGCGCTTCGCGAAATTTGCAAATTTTTTTGATATTCGCTCTCTTTTTAGATTACATATTCACGTTGAAGCTTTGTTCTCGATTGCGCTCGATCAACGAATTATTAAGACCTCGTACCGCGAGAATTATGAAAAATTTCTCGAATATTATCCCGCTGCGATTCGTTACGATCTTTGTAGTTTTAAATTTCGTTTTCATACCTATATATAGAAAGTGAGAGAGAGAGAGAGAGAGAGCGCATTCCTATGAATACGAGAGAACGCAATATGTTTCGTTTTAAAAACGCAAATGAACTCGAAGCGCGATAGTCGTTTGCCCCATTCCTACCGGAATTACAGATTGATGTTGAATCTTCGTTGTACCGGATTGCCAACAGGTGATCAACCGGGTTAACGAGCGAGCTTAAGTTGCAGAAGGCACTCTGCCAGTCTTGGCCTTTCACGAGCTACGCGAAAAGTTGGCAGGTTGTCGGAACTTTTTTCCTCTCGTTCCGGAGCGAATCATTATCGGATGTGCTCGTTTGCCTTTTCGAAAAGAAAAGGCACCGCAGGATAACCGCACGTTTTTCCCCAGCGGAAATTTGTCCATTTCTTTCTCTCTCTCTCTCTTTCTTTCCCATCATTTTCATCGCCGATGAACTTCGCTCACTGAAAAATTCATGACAGCGGAGCAGGAACATCGAATCGCGATCGCGTTTTCATCGTGTTTAAGCGTATCGATGGCTATCTTGCGCAGGACTTCTTTGCACGGGAAATGGGTGGGAATTAAAATTTAAGTTCCTTCTCTCCATTCAAATCCGGTCCGATAATCGCGCCTCGTCGACGAGTTAAGCCGTTCTAAATTTTAAACGCAGACGGCGCTCTCGGGCTTACTTTACCGAGAATAGCTGAGATATATTCGTTAGATAGAAATAAGGAAGCGATGTTCTTTGTTCATGCGAAAATTACTGAGAAGGTACATATGCTTGTAATTTTTACAAAGCTTGTTAAAGACTAATATTGTATTTTTCCAAAAGAAATTGTAACGTTAAAAAAATAATAAAATATAATATCAAGTTAATAATAAACGAGAATACTTTAGCGTTCGAAAAAAACATTTTCTAACGTTAAAAAGTAATAAATCGCAAAGGAAGAGAGAATTTTTTTGTCGTGAAAATAATGGCGCAAATTTTTTATATGGACCCTGATTCAGAGGCTGTCCGAAATTTTCATTCTACTCCAATCGTTTAAAAGCAGCTTGTTCTGCGGTTTGCACTTGTTTTTTCATTATTTCTATCTTTTTTAATTTGTACAACTCGTTCGGTCGAGAGATCGAAATGAATTTGCCATAGTATACATATAGTCGAGATTATACGAGAGTATTGGTAGTGGCGGCATTATTGCTGCACTACCGATCAATACTTTGAGTACAATACGCTTTCCTCCGGTAAATCCGGAAGGGCCCCGTAATTCTGAGAGGTAATTTTAGAAAAATTACGTCTCGCGACGGAGCAGGAATTTATTAGCGTCACAAATTAATGTTGGACTTTAATCTCCGCGTCTCTCTCTCTCTCTCTCTCTCTCTCGACATTACTGTGAAAAAGTATTTTAGAGAAATTTTTCTCAATAATCTCTTTCGATATATACAATATTTCACCTCTCTCTCTCTGTATTGATCTGACATTTATATTCATCGGATTAATCGTCGATATTAAAGATACGCGAACGATGTACCGTTTCTAGCGACGGTTGTTTTATACATCAGCGCCGAACGTAAAAGCTACATTGATAGACAATCACTTTACCCCATCTCTCTTAGGGTTCATCTAAAATCCTATTCACCCGCCGCCAATCCCATTCATTCGACTCGCTCCTTTTTCCACGAGCTTGTCCTTTCCTCGGTTCTTTCGATCGCTTCGAAGGTGTTAAAACGAACCCGAGAAAAATTGCTGGCGGTCGTTATCCGGAGCAAGTGCGCGGCGACAAAAATTCAATACCCCTGGGTTTGCCCTTTTCCTCAGTGAGAATTTCCTACACGTCGTCGTCGTCGCCGCGAAAAGGGCGATTCTTTTCACCATTACAAACGATGTATCGCACGCAGCGCAGTTTTGTCAATCGGCCAATCGGAGCCATCGGGCACCGCTTCAAAGGGTATTTCCCGATACGATGTGTTGTGTGTGTGTTGTGTTCGATCGGGCGGGCAATTGGGGGTATCGTTCCATTGAACGAACGGAAAATCAATCCGGCAGGTCGCTGGTAATTACGTCGTACGCGAGCCTCGCCGAGGTATTCGGCCGAATCGCGGATTTATATCGCGGGACAAGCGTGCCATAGGCACGTTTTGCACACATCCGCGGATTTATGCCCCTCTTCGGGCATAGTAGTTGGGTTTACGCCCGGCTCGGGCCGATGAATGATCCCCATCGGCGACAGCGGGGCCGAATCATGGGGATGCCGCGGATGACACGCATAGCATAAATCTCGAGGATTTGCGCGCGGCCGAGTCATCCCTCGCGGTATATAGTGACGTCAGATGCGTGTAACGCGTCAAAATTGTTAGCGTATATTCGCGCAAACCAGAGGAGATTAAATGCGCGACGATATAAACGCGAGATATGCCCTTTTCTTCGCGGAAAATTCAAGGGATTGAGATTTAATTACGAGTGCACACAGAAAAATATATACTGTAAATATCTGTTTCGTAAATATTTCATAAGTTCATCGTAAGCATCAAGTTTATTCGAAATGTGTTCTTAATGCTAATAAGTTTGATATTTCAATAAAAAATATTACATTTAAAAAAATTCTATTTGTTGTTTTTTATCTGACGTCTTTGATAGATGCGTGTAACGCGTCAAAATTGTTGGCGTATATTCGCGCAAACCAGAGGAGATTAAATGCGCGACGATATAAACGCGAGATATGCTCTTTTCTTCGCG